TAGTTGCTTTAGTTTCATCTGACTCAGAGATCCAATTAACATCACTAAATCCTTCTATTATTGATGGATATCCATTATAACAAATACCCAAATTAGAAGTACTTTTAGTATCTGCACAACCTTTCAATAGCACACCAGTGATATTCACTTGGATTACAAGTATATCTACTTAACCTATTAACAACATATGCAATATCGGGTTAGGGTGCAATTAGCTAGATACATCAGTGAACCAATTATTTGAGAATATTCATGTTGTGATATAGGTTCTCCTATATTCTTTTTAAGCTTCGAATTTGGATCATAAGGGGTAGAAACATGACTCAAATCAAAATAATCAAATTTCTTTAATAAATGCTCCACATAATGTGATTGAGTCAATATAAATTCACTATCACTTTTTAACCAATTTAACACCTAATATGACATCAACAGGACCTAAGTCTTTCATGTCAAAATTATTTGACAGAAATTCTTTTGTTTCATTGATAACATTCACATTAGTGCCAAATATAAGAATATCATCAACATACAAACAAAGGATAACACAAGTATCTTCTAACATTTTAATGTAAAGACATTTATCAGAATCATTAATGAAAAAACCATAAGAAATAATCACACTATCAAATTTCTCATGTCATTGTTTAGGGGTTTGTTTTAGTCCATAAAGAGACTTAACTAAATTTTATGTTCTTGACCTAGTTTTATAAACCCCTCAGGTTGTTCCATGTAAATTTCTTGTTCTAATTCACCATTTAAAAAGGCAGTTTTAATGTCCATTTGATGAATTTCTAATTTCAAAATAGAGGCAATGGCTATTAAGACTCTCATAGTAGTCATTCTAGCTACAGGAGAGTAAGTGTCAAAAAAGTCTACACCTTCCTTTGACTATACCCTTTTGCAACTAATCTAGCTTTAAACTTATCTATAGAACCGTCAGTTCTGAGTTTTTTTCTTGAAAATCCACTTACAACCAATTGTTTTACAACCATGTGGACGTTTAGTTAAGATCCAGGTATTATCGACAAAAGTAACTTCATTTCACTATTAATAGTTTCTTTCCAAAAATGTGCATCTATAGATTTCAGTGCTTCTAAATATGTGCTAGGGTCACTTTCAACTGAATAAGTATAGAAATCATCACCAAAATTCTTACTAACTCTATTCTTTTTACTTTTCCTTTGTTCAATTGGTTCTAAATTAGGGCCACCTCTTTAAACCCTAATCTTTCATTAAGTTGCTTGTTCAAATAAATCTTTATAGGAAAAATGTTTTCAAAGAAAGTGACGTCACGAGATTCTATAATTGTATTTTTTGTAAATTCAGAAATATCTGAATTTAGAACAAGAAATCTATAGGTAGTGCTATTTAAAGATTACCCAACAAAAGTGCAGTGAATGATTTTAGGACCTAGTTTTCTTTTTTTATTAATAGGGATATTAACTCAAGTTAGGGACTTTATTTTTCCAAATCTCGTACGGAGTTTTATCAGAATTTTTATAAATAATTCTATTCAAAATTAAACATGCTTCACCCAAAAACTTAGTTGGTAGACCAGAACTCAATAACCTGACATTAACCATATTTAATAAGGTTCTATTCTTCCTCTCTGCTACACCATTAGATTCAGGTGCATAAGGAGAGGTAACCTGATGAATTACGCCATGCAATCTATAAAATTCATTCATTTCTTCTGAGCAGTGCTCACCTCCCCTATCAGATCTTAAAACTTTTATTTTCTTTTCTTACTGATTTTCTGCCTCAGCTTTATAAGTTTTAAATCTGCTAAACACTTCATCTTTAGTGCTAAGTAAATAGACATGACAGTATTTAGAGCAATCATCCACAAAACTTACAAAATATCTTTTTCCTCCATGTGTCAAAGTATTATTGCAGTCACAAACATCACTATGAATTAATTCTAGCAACAAGGAATTTCTTTCTATTGATTTAAATGGTTTCCTAGGTTGTTTTGCTTGTACGAAACTTTCACATTTATCTTTATTATTTAAAGCAGATTTAGGTATTAATTCCATATTCATCATTATATTTATTGAGTTAAAATTCACATGTCCAAGTCGACCATGTCAAATATCAGAAAATTGAACATTTGCAATAACATAAGAATAACATGGAGATTTATAACTGTTAAAAGACACTACATTGAGTTTAAACAAGCCATCTACCAAATAACCTTTACCAATAAAAGTACCATGTTTGCTAAGTACTATTCTATTAGATTCAAAAATAACTTTAAAGCCTTGTTCTACTAGCAAGAAAACACTGACTAGATTTTTTGAAATTGAAGAACATGTAAAACATTGTGCAATAAGAGGTCTTTGCTCGAAGATAAGTTTAATAAAACTTCTCCTTCTCCTATTGTGACGGCCTCATTTCCATTTCCCATCTTCACAGATCTGGTACTCGATTCCTGGAACAAATAGAATAGTTTCTTATCAGCACAAACATGTACATTCGCACCAGAGTCAAGCCACCAATCATTTTAGTTGAGAACTAAATTTAACTTGGAATTGCTGATATAATACCCATTCGATGGGAGAGTGGAGTCGGCTTGGTTTGTAGTGGCCACGTTGGCTTGTAGTTGTGAATGCGACTGGGGTGTTCCATCTTTACGAAGAAAGCAATCTTTTGCCAAGTGGTTGGTCTTGCCACAAACGTAAAAGGGGGGACCCCATCTTTTTTGAATAATATTCTTATCCCTTAGTTTATTGTTCTGGTGATATTTTTTAGGGCTATCTCTCTTGAAGCTCTTGGGCTTTGGTTTATAGGATTTATCAATCATAAGTGCTTTTGCTTGACTACCAGAATTGGATATTTCTTTTAGATTTTCACGATATCTATCCTCAATTGTTAATGACAAAATTAGTTCATCATAAGAAAAGCTTTCAGGCTTTTGTTTTAAGGTTCTTTAAAAATCTACCTAAGAAGGGGGCAAAACTTTAATAAGAAATGAAATCAGTACAACATTGTCAAACTCAATCCCCTTCATTTTTAAATCAAAAATCATATTTTCAAATCCATGAATTTGATCGCATACAGATTTTCCATCGACCATTTTGAAATCAAAGACATTTTCAACTGCATACCTTTTAAAGCTTAATTTTTCTGACCCACATTTCTTTTCTAAAGCTTCCCATATTTCTATGGAATTTTCAGTTGAATAAAAGATTTTATAAATACTATCAGACACAGCACTCAAAATATTACCATGACACAAAATATCTTTTTCTTCAAGTCTCTTATCGACATTAGTTTTACTAGAGTCAGAGTCACTAGTTTTGGAGGTTTGCAGGCTTCTTTAGAGGTTTCACATATTTTTTCTTTACCTTTTTCACAAGCAGATATGACAGAGAAAATAGCTAAAGTTGTGAGCCAAAACTTTATCTGTTGTTGCCAACATTTGAAAATTTTTCCGATAAATTTTTCAGGTTTACATGAATATTTAGACTTATGAGATGAAGTCATGGTGATGAATACAATAAACAAAATTTCTAGCATCCTTTCTAAGATTGTTAGAAAAAATATAAATAGAACCAAACTCAATGAAATACGAATTCTATTTCAATACACAACCACAACAATAAAACAATGAAGAAATAATATTAATCAGAAAACAAAATGGTTTTAGAAGGCCTGTGTATGGGTTGAGGCGCGTTGACGAACGTTGTCCTTAGAGAAGACGTGCCCCCACTTGCACTATGTTGTTCGGCCCTCCACTCCCAGGATACAACACCCTCCAAGAGACCTTGTGTGCAGCTAAGCTCTCTCACGAATCCCACTTAACTTGTATGCTCATAAAAAGACAAAAGAAATGTTTTAGGAGAAGAAGATGTGAAGTTTTTGTGTGTTTAGTTCTCTTCTACAACCCCTCTTATATAGTATTTGAAGGGATTAAAAATAGGTTTTCTAATTTAAAACTTAACAAACTTTGCTAACTCAGTCCTTGGCACGAGGGAAAGACCAAACTAATTTTCTATTAAAAGAGTAACCAATTGAGTCAAACTTTAGAACATCTTTTAATTTTTCAACAATACGCTCCAAATTCAAACTCACCATCTTTTCGTCTTCACTATATTCATGTTGACTATAAGTTTTGAATGTTTCTACCACTTTCTTAGAAATTTGAATGAGGAATTATAATTGTAGAAATTTTTCTCGCTCATGTTCGTCCATTAATTCACCTAGTATTATACTATATAAGTTTATCACTAATCAATTTTAACATTTACTAATAGTGAGAGACTAAATTGAAAAAACATAGGAGACAAAATTGAAACTTTTATAGTAATAGTAGGGACTAAATTTGAAAAACACTCAAATATTAAGGTATGAAACATATGCTTAGACGATTTATTATTGGTAATATTTTGTCTATGTGAAAATAATCTATATCTATAATATATATATAATACGAATGTGAAAGAAATATTTTTTTAGATAAAATTAATATTGATTGTTCATGTAATACCTAAATTTTTTTAATAAGATAATTGTAATAAGTACTTTCACGCAAATGACACAAATCATATAATGAAAAAAACGTAATAATAAAAATAATACACCCTTAAAATATTTAATCTATATTAATTATTCTGAAATTTATTGCTTTACATTTAATAATAACTAATGATGGAAGTATTATAAACATTATCAAGTGATAGATGCCCTTGGCTGTCAAAATATGGGATGCCTAAATAACTCTAATCCCATGTGTCAATTTCTTCCATTTGCTTAGTGTCTCCAAGTGTCAAGTTGACCTATATCCACATACTTAATTCTCAGTATCCGATGTGTTTATTTTCTACTTATTATTAGTGTCCAAATGCAACACCTCATGGTTGTACAAATTGCCTATAAATAGTGGCAATTCACGGATAGTTTGGAAGTGAGAATTTGAGTGGACTTTGGTGGAAAATATTTGTTACATTTCTAAAAGAATTTATGTTTTATTTTCAATTTTTTAATTTATATTTTAATTTTATATTTTGTCAAATCTCGTATTTTCTCGTTGTTCATGACTCGTGGTGCCTCATTTTGCTCCATAATCTTACAAGACGTTATCAACACGACCCTCTGCCATTTTTCCCTCTAAAGGTAGGTTCTAAAGGTAGGTTATTTGATTTTCCTTTTATTTTCATGCTTAGTATATATCACATTTCTAACACACAGACATTTTCTTTGTGGTAGTGCTACCATGACAAATCTCATCAAATTAGAGTTTACTACCCTTGACATGAATGACAATAATTATTTGTCATGGGTACTGGATGTTGAGATTTATCTTGATGATATAAACCTAGGAGAAACCATCAAAAAGAAAATACAACGACGAGTCAAGATAAGGCGAAAGCCATGATTTTCCTTCGTCACTATCTCCACGAGGGATTGAAGATGCAATATCTAACAATAAAAGATCCTCGTGTATTATGACAAAATTTGAAAGAGAGATATGATCATCAGAAAACAATTATTCTTCTTTAAGCTCGATACGAATGGATGCACTTTAGGCTCCAGGATTTCAAATTAGTAAGTAATTATAATTCCGCATTATTTAAAATCAATCAAAATTGAAGTTATGCTGAGAAAAAAATTACTGATGGAGATATGTTCGAGAAGACATTCTCTACTCTTTATGTCTCGAATATGCTCTTGCAACAACAATATCGAGAGAAAGGCTTTAAGAAATATTCTAAACTCATATCATGTCTTCTTGTTGTTGAGCAAAACAATAAGCTGTTGATGAAAATCATGAATCTCGACCAACGTGAACAACACCATTCCCTTAAACAAATGCAATGAATTTTGATAATCGTGGTCGAGGTCGAGGGCATGGTTGAGGGCATGACCGCGGTAGAGGAAGAAAGAATCATTCTTTTCGTGGTGGTCATTATAATCATCCAAATTTCAAAAGAACCACACAAAATAATGATCATAAAGGAAAAGCTCCACTAGATCAAGATTCTAGAAATGTTGAACATAAATGTTTTCGATGCGGAATGACTGGGCATTGGGCACGTATTTGTTGAATGTCGAAACACTTGATGGATCTCTATCAGGCTTCCCTAAAAGAAAAAGGAAAATACGTGGAGGCAAATCTTGCATATCAGGATGTTGATATATTTGATCCTGCCAACATAACAAATTTGGATGTGGCAGATTTTCTTGAAACTCCTAGAGAACAAATTGGCACAATGGATGAGATAACAAGTGCTTCATTTGATTTTGAAAACATCCAGAATTAATGTTTTTTTTTCTTTCATCTATCTTTCATGTTTTTTTTAGCTAAGGTTGTCTTTTTGTATTTCAAGTCTTTTTTCTTCTCTTATTCTTATTGTAATTATTTTGTTTAATGAAGAAGCACGAACAATTTTCATATATTGGATGACTAAAAAATGAGCAATGGAGATCTATGTCTGGCGGATAGTGCAACTACACACACAATATTGAAAAGTAGAAAATATTTTTCCAAATTAACAATGGTGGAAGCAAAAGTCAATACAATATCAGGTTCTGCAAACTTGATTGAAGGATTTGGAAAAGCAGATATTATTTTTCCTAGAGGAACAAAGTTTAAAATAACAATGCATTATTCTCTAGTCAATAAAAAGAAATATATTAATTTTTAAAGATATATGTTGCAATGGTTATCATATTGAGACTGATAACAAGAATAATATAGAATATCTCTATATTATATCTATTTTCTCACATGGCAAACATATACTGGAAAAGCTACCTGCTTTATCTTCTCGATTATATTATACTCATATACAAGTAATTGAAATTTATGCAACAATGAACCTGAAGTTCATGAATCAAGATATATTTACTATTTGGCATGACCGATTGTGTCATCCAGGGTCCATAATGATGAGAAGAATTATTGAAAGTTCATACAGACATCCATTAAAAAACCAGAAGACTCTTTAATCTAATGAATTGTCATGTGAGGCTTGCTCTCAAGGTAAATTAATCATTAGACCATCACCAACTAAAGTGGGGACAAAATCACCTATATTTTTAGAACGAATTCATGTGATATATGTGGACCTATTAATCCATCAAGCGGACCCTTTAGATATTTTATGGTGTTAATAGATGCCTCGAGTAGATGGTTACATATATGCTTATTATCAAGTCGAAATCTTGTATTTGCAAAATTACTTGCTCAGATAATTAAGTTAAGAGCACAATTTCCTGATTATACAATTAAGAACATTTGTCTTGATAATGGTGGTGAATTTACATCCCAATCATTTAATAATTATTGCATGACAATTGGGATAATTGTTGAACATCCTGTACCTCATGTTCATACACAAAATGGTTTAGCCGAATCATTAATAAAACGATTACAGTTAATTGCTAGACCATTACTTATGAGGGCTAAACTTCCTACATCTGTATGAAGACATGCTATTTTGCATGCAATATCACTTGCACGTATTAGGCCAACAACCTATCATAAGTATTCACCATTACAATTAGCTTATGGCGAAGAGCCGAGTATTTCCCATCTGCGAATTTTTTGATGTGCAGTATACATTTCCATCGCTCGATCACAACGTACTAAAATGGTCTCGCAAAGGCGGTTGGGAATATATCTTGGTTTTGATTCCCCATCAATCATTAAATATCTTGAGCCCGTGACAGGTGATGTATTTACTGCATGATTTGTTGATTGTCATTTTAATGAGACAAATTTTCCAACATTAAAGGGAGAAATTAAGAAGTTGGAAAAAGAAATTACATGGAATGCATATTTATTGTCTCATTTAGATCCCCGTACTGATCAAAGTGAACTTGAAGTTCAGAAGATAATCCATTTTCAAAATATAGCAAATCAATTACCAGATGCATTTATAGATGCTAAGAAAATGACTAAGTCATATATTCCGGCTACAAATGCTCCATCAAAAATTGATATCCCAATACAACAAGTTGTCATTAATAAGTCTACGACATGTCAGAAACGTGGGAGACTTCTAAAGATAAAAATCATCGAAAAAGAAAAGTAGTCAATAATCAAAATGACTCGATTGAGAATGTGGATATTCCAGAAGAAAACCTAAACATGACTACTCATGAAAATACTGGGGAATGTCAAGTACCTAAAGATAGTAATGAGATTTCAATAAATTATGTAATGACAGGGAAAAGATAAAACTGAACTAATATAGTTACTGACAAAATTTTTGCTTATAATTGATCTCTTGACATTATATCCGAAAGTGAAGATTCTGAACCAAAATCTATAAAAAAGAATGTTAACAAAGAAAAGATTGGCTTAAGTGGAAAGAAGCAATCCAAGCAGAATTAAATTCACTTTCAAAACGTCAAGTCTTTGGACCAGTAGTCCGAACACCAAAAGATGTTAAGCCTGTGGGATACAAATGGGTATTTGTAAGAAAAAGAAATGAAAACAACAAGGTCACAAGATATAAGGCAAGACTGGTTGCTCAAGGGTTTTCACAAAGACTTGATATTATTATGAGGATACATATTCTCTGGTGGTGGATGCAATTACACTAAAATATTTAATTGGTCTGACTATATATGAAAGTCTTGACATGAATCTTATGGATGTAGTCACAACATATTTATATGGATCTCTTGATAATGTATATATATATATATATATATATATATAAATCCTTAAAGGATTTAAGGTACCTAAAATATATAATTAAAGTTCTTGAGAATTGTATTCAGTAAAGCTACAGAGATCATTATATGGATTAAAACAATCAGGCGAATGTGGTACAATCAACCGAGTGGATATTTGTTGAAGGAAGGATATCAAAATAATTCAATTCGTCCGTGTGTTTTTATAAAGAAATCACAGTCAGGATTTGCTATTATAACTGTGTATGTGGATGACTTAAATATAATTAGAACTCCTGAAGAGCTTTCAAATGCAATGAAGTATCATAAGAAAGAATTTGAAATGAAAGATCTCAGAAAAACAAAATTTTGCCTTGGCTTGCAAATTGAACATTTAGCAGATGAGATATTTGTGCATCAATCAATTATACAGAAAAAGTTTTAAAAAGATTTTATATGGACAATGCACATTCATTGAACATTCCAATGGAGTTCGTTCACTTGATGTGAAGAAATATATATTTCGACTTTAAGAAAATAATGAAGAAATTCTTGGTTCTGAAGTACCATATCTTAGTGCAGTTGGTGCACTTATGTATCTTGCTAATAATACAAGACTAGATATATCATTTTCAGTTAATTTATTAGCGAGATATAGTTCTTATCCAACAAAAGGACATTGGAATGGAGTTTAGTGTATATTCCGCTATCTTAGAGGAACGACTGATATGAGCTTGTTTTATTCAAAGAACTCAAATTTTGATCTAGTTGGTTATGCAGATGTCAGATATTTATTTGATCCACACAAAGCTAGATCTCAAACAGGTTATTTGTTCATATGTAGAGGAACTGCTATATCATGGTGATCAGGGAAACAAACCATAACAACTACCTCATCAAATTATACTGAAATTCTTGCAATTCATGAGGCTAGTCAAGAATATGCATGGTTAAGATCAATGACTAAACACATTTGTGGAACATGTGGCTTGTCTCCCAATAATCTTCCGAACGATATTATACGAAGATAACACAACATGTATAGCCCAAATCAAAAGAGGATATATTAAAGAGGATAGGATATAACAAAACATATTTCACCTAAGCTCTTCTACACTCATGATCTTGAAGAAAATGACAACATCACTAAAAAATTTGTTCGAAGGATAACCTGGTAGATTTACTTACGAAGGCGTTACCTACTGCAACATTTGAAAGATTGGTACGCGATATTGGAATATGATGGCTCAGAGATCTCAAATGATATTTTCATGAGGGGAGCAAGATATATTGTATTTTTTTGGGTTTGTTAGATTATATTAAATATGTACTTCTTTTCCTTCAGTGGGATTTTTTTCCCACTGGTTTTTTCCTAGTAAAGTTTTAACGAGACGTATTTCATATATATAATTGGCATCTAATTGGGAGTATTATAAACATTATCAAGTGTAGATGTCCTTAGGTGTCAAAATATGGGATGTCTCAATAACCCTAACCCCATGTGTCAATTTCTTCCATTTGCTTAGTGTCTCCAAGTGTCAAGTTGACCTATATCCATGTGCTTAATTCTTAATATCGCATGTGTCTATTTTCTACCCATTATTAGTGTCCAAATGTAACACCTGTACAAATTACCTATAAATAGTAGCAATTTATGGATAATTTGGAAGTGAGAATTTGAGTGGATTTTAGTGGAAACTATGTTAAATTTCTAAAAGAATTTATGTTTTATTTTCAAATTTCTAAATTTATATTTTAATTTTATATTTTGTCAAATTTCGTATTTTCTCGTTGTTTGTGACTCGTGGTGCCCATTTTGCTCCATAATTTTACAAGAGGAAGTACAAACTTTTAGAAGTTTAATGGTTTAA